ACAAGATTAGAAATATACAAAAATAACAAAATAACATCTCTCTCTTAAAATTAGGATTCTATCTTTCTATTTTTCCTTAGGCCAAGATTGAGAAACTAGCATTCTATTTATAAGAAAAATAGCACACTAACCTAATGGGCTTTTTAACAATTACCCATTACAAGCTAACTTATAGTACAAGCTAACTTAAACACTTAGACTTACAAGCAAGACTCAATCCACTATGCTAACAAACCTAGCAATATTGACTAATGCATGTTAGAAAAAACTTCGACTACAACACGCATTATCTTCGACGGCAGCATGCGAACAGGCTTCGACCTCATGCTTAATTGTTGTCGAACCAGAAGCTACCCTTCGACCATATTAGAGTTCGATCTAATATCTCACAAATCTCCACCTTGGATTTAACTCTATAACATCAAGAAACTAGCTTTTTTCATGCAGCTTTATCAACTGCATATAGTGGAAAAACTTGCAACTGGACAACGTTTTGGTGATCATATCAGCAGCATTATGATTTGTCGAAACCTTCAGCACTTGGACTTCTTCACGCTCAATTACCCCTCTGACGAAATGCAGCCTCACATCAATGTGTTTGGTTCGCTCATGATAGGCTGAATTCTTCAGCAGGTGTATTTCACTTTGACTATCACATTTAACAGTGATAACTCGACTCTGAAGTTTTACCTTCTTTGCAAAACCTTCAAGCCACAATGCTTCCTTTACAATTTCAGTTTGAGCAATATATTCCGCTTCAGCGGTTGATAACGCAACGACCTTCTGAAGTGTTGCTTTCCGCCTAATTGTTGTCCCAAACATAATGAACATCTATCCAAAAATAGATTTTCGGGAATCCATACAACCTGCATAATTAGATTCGACATATCCTTCGATTGCTGATTTACTATCTTCACCCAAGGCTCTACCATAAATTAGGACTCTATTCAGAGACCCATTTATGTACCTTAGAATCCACTTTAATGCTTGTCAGTAAGCCTTTCCAAGATTCGCTATGTACCTGCTTACAAGACTTACTGCATATGCTATGTCGGGTCTAATACAGACCATAACATACATCAAAGAACCCACTGTATTAGCATATGGAATGCTATTCATATAAGTTCTTTCAACATCAGTGTTGGAACATTGATATATACTCAGCTTGAATTGAGGGTTTGTCGGAGTCACAAAAGGCTTTGAATTCGACATACCAAACTTTTTTAGAACCTTCTGTAGGTATGCCTCTTGAGATAAACATACTTTCGACTGCTTTCTATCTCTTTGGATGTCAATCCCAAGAATCCTGGACGCAACTCTCAGATCCTTCATGTCGAACTCCTTATTCAGTTCAGCCTTCGCCCTCATTACATCTTCGACATTGTTTCTTGCTATTAGAATACCATCCACATAGAGCAATAAAATAACAAATGAATTACTCGGACGAAATCTGAAGTAAACACAGTGGTCGAACTGACTTCTGATGAAACTAATGCATGTCATGAACTTGTCGAATCTTTTTTTCCACTGTCGAGGAAATTGTTTTAGTCCATATAAGGATCTATTCAGCTTGCACATGTAATCATCCTTCCCTTTTTCGATATACCATTCAGGTTTCCTCATCGGGATTGTTTCATCTAAATCACCATACAAGAATGCAGTCTTCACATTCATCTGTTCCAATTCAAGGTCGAACTGTGTCATTGTGGCAAGCAACATTCGAATGGATGTGTACTTCACAACAGGAGAGAACATATCATTGAAGTCAATACCTTCTTTATGAGTGAACCCCCTATCAATCAATCTTGCCTTGTATCTCTTCGAAGTCACTCCTTCGATTCCTTCCTTAACTTTGGAAATCCATTTACAACTGACTAACTTGTTTCCAGCAAGTTTCTTGATCAGTTCTCAGGTGTTGTTATCATAAAGAGATTTCATCTCATCATCCATGGCCTTCATCCATTCAGTCGTCTTTCGAATCCACATAACTTCCTTATAGCGGCATGTCCACATGCTCGGCAGGACATTTCCAACCAACTATCTGCCATTTACAAAGTCATAAACTTATACAATATGTACAATAACAACTTTCCGGTGGTAGCAAAAGAAGATTATTGGCCTACATATCAAGGAAAGATAGTTTGGTACATTGAAAAGTTGCGAAGAAAAAAAAAATCTCCCTAACAACACATGTATTCGAATCGAAATGGATACGACAAACAAAATGATGAGATTATATAGTTCATGCCATCAGCCTGGAAACAATCGTACAAACTGTCTTAATGTTGGGGCAAGTTCCACAACATAATTATTAAATCCACTTTTAGTCCTGCTTTTTACATGTAATTCATTTTATGTAACCATTTAATTCGATATTGAAAGCAACACTCTTTTCATAAAGATTACAACATTCAGTTACAACAATTAAAACAACAACGCTAAAAAAATATAAAACGATTAAACAACATATTTATGCGATTACAACCACCCGAACAATTTCATCTAAACTATACATCATAAAACCACAAACACGATCAATTTTAACTGACTCTCAGATACGATGTTCTCCATTATTATTGAACGTCGTACACCCCTTTTAATTTTTCTGATTTTTTCACCATTTACAATGTTTCCATCTAACCAACAGATCAAGCTCCTCTAAAGATGCTAAAAAATCTCCGTATTCCAAAATCGAATCTACTCCGGAGGTTTTACTGCTGAATAAATCAAATTAGCATTTCTTTTGATAATATAAGACATTTTGAAGAAAAATTGAAGGAGAGAATTAGAAGATGAGTGGGAAATAGTGAGGAGAGAATGACTTATATATAAAAAAAAACCAAAACAACATAGGAGCCACGGACAATGATGCATGCTCATAAGGCTTGCAAGCATGCACCACTGTCATTGACATTATAGAGGAGCATGTGTCATAGGCATTGGAGCCTAACACAAAAAAAATGACAATTTCTTATTGTATCATATATGTTTCTTAGGCACCACGCAAAATTCTAAAAATATCCTCAATTTCTGGAGATACATCTCCGAACGAATCCTAATACACACATTTCATTCGTTTTTGAGTTAAAACACAATTTTCTGAATGAATTAATCCCAGGTATATATATCTCCGTAAAATTTTCGAAAATATATTTTCAAAATTTCTTAAAATTGATTTAGAAAAGCATCCCATGTTGTCTCTCTTTCTCTCATGAATTAATTATTAATTTAACAATCTTAATTGATTAAACTAAATTTAAGAAGACATGTTTGAAAAGCAAAACATTGATTGATGAAACTAAATTGATTGTTGTATGTTATGTAATAGTAAAAAATCCCCGATTTAATGTTTATGCAAATTCAATTTTTTCCCAATAAGTGTGATATACGGATTTAAAGAAGATAACATACCGTATTAGTATGTACTTAATTCACTTTAAGAGATTTCGGAAATATATTTTTGGAAATTTTCCGAAGATAACTTTTCAGATTAAATTTATTTGTAAAATTTAGGTGTGACTCAAAAACGAACTAAATGTGTGTAAGATGTGCATCCAGCGATATATCTCCGAAAACCGAGGGTATTTTTAAATAGTGGTGTACGAAAACCATATATGGTGGTTTAAGAAATTCTAAAAAAAAGAGTGTGGCACATCCTCTTGGATGACAATTTTTTATTTAAAAAGCGGTTAGTTTAGTATATATTTTGAAAATGTGATTATTTGAGGAATTTTTTTTATAATAATGATTTTTTTTTTATAATAATGGCCTATATCTTTCTGCACCACTCTCTACAAAATTATCTCTAAGATCATGACTAATAGAATGAGCAAGGTTTTTAGTAGTATTATAGATGATAGTCAAGATACACTTGTCTTAGGCAAGCACATACATGACCATATCTTGTTGGCTTTTCAATACACCAACTAACTCAAAATAATTTCATTTATCTACATCTATTCTCAAATCATTTACTACTCCATTCTCATATACACTACGATCTTCATCGGTGAACTCACCACTATGATAAATTTTGAGAGTTATGTATTCACCCATGATAATTAATCATATCATCTAAATAATTAGAGTTTACATTAATTTTTTTTTACATAAATCCTAAATCTGAACCTCTAACGGATATTGCCCTATGAGATTCGTAAATCCTAAATCAGAGAGAAATGAACTAACCTTTTTGATAATGTCTCCTTGAATTGTTTTCAATCCTCCGCCCTCAATCCTTTGCGTCTTCAATTCTTCGCGTCTTCAATCCTTGAATCGTTTTCAATGATTCATTGAATTTACCTGTACAAACGTTTTATCTTCTAGGTAATAGAAATATAAACGTGATACCATTTTAAAAGTTAAAGTAATAGCTTGCAATTTTTTAAAATTAAGGGATCAAATTGGCCCCGAACTAAAGTTAAGGGACGAAAAATTTTATTTTACCAAAAATTTAAAGCAAAATCAGAAAAAAAATCTACAAATTGTTAATTTTAAAAACTAAAACAAAAAAGATTTAACATTTACAAATTATCTAAAAAAATTAGAAATTAAAACAAAAAACATCAACCTAAAAAAAACTATTTAAACTAATTTTCTATTTATTTCATTTTATTGAAACATAACATTAACAATTTATGTTTAAGAAATCCGTGGCATCCCTTGCGCGAGAGCACGTGTATTCGTCTAGTATCTATAAAAGTAGAGTTAATATTCAATTGTGGATTATTTTTGTTAATTAAAAAAAATGAAATAGTAATACTATAAATGTTTAGTTTTGTTATTTTTACTCATTCTTTCTCACAGTACATGGATCGCACCGCATGTGATTGTGATTGAGAAGCCAAATCCAAAATCCAAAGGCAAAGCTTAGCGTTGAATTTTCATTCATTCATTCATTCTCAACAATAATATATCATTCTCCACTTTCACTCCACTTCAACTCCCAACCTTCAAACGCAAGAGACTCAACAACTTTGTTTCCATCGATATTCAATTTCATGGGACAAATCTTCGACAAATTTCAAGGTATTTCTATCTTTCTTTCCTGCACCAAACTATATACTTGGATTTGCTTTCTTTAGAGGCTAAACGCATCGAAATTTATTGAATCTTATCATTTTCACAATCTGTTATACCTGTGTCTATGTGTGTGTTTTACAACAACTTAATTTTATAGGAGTTTAATCCTTGATACTGTAAGTAACAAAAATTATCATGGAGTTAGGCAAATTGGGGATTGGAGTCTCATAGCATCTATGATAGAGTAATAATTTGAAATAAAATGAATAAATTAAACATAATTACAAGAGTCAGTGTTGGTTTATGAGAGGTGTCGGTGCTGTAGAGCAAACCACTAGATTTTTAAAAGAAGAAATCATTATGGCCTTAAATGGATTCATGTATTGCATTGTAGTACGGATTAAACCTGAGTGTGATTAATTTCTAAATCTTTCAAAAACGATTTAAACTTGCCCCTAAGTTATTATTAACGATCCTTTTCGGTATAATTGGTCACTCACTTTATTGATGTTCAAAAGAATTCTTATTTCATTATTATGCATGAACTTGAGGAATCTAGATGGAATGATAATGCACTTTTTTATGCCATGGCATTTAATGCAGGTGAGGCCTGGAGAAAAAAGCAAATTAGGAAGATTACTGATCGAGTTTTTCAGAAAGTAAGGAATAAAACGCCAACGGAAACTTTGAGTTTTGAAGATCTGTATATTGCTGTTTTACTTGTTTACAAGTAAGGAATATGATTCATATAGTTGAATTCGACATTTCATCTTACTTGATAAGATGTTCTTTTGAATAGATCTTGTAATAGTGATTGGATTTCTATGTTTATAGTGATATCAACAAGTTTATTCCTGGTCCCCATTTCGATCCTCCATCAAAAGAAACCGTCAGACAAATCATGCAGGTACTTTCTTGTGTCATACTTTGTTTATAAATGAAACTGAATTTTTTTTGCTGTTAAAATGAATCTATGCTGGCTTGCTTTATACATAAGTTTTGGTTCATTTGAGTGATGAATGTGTCATGAACTCGTATGCATTTAGGATTAAGCAATGTTAGTAGAAACGCGAGTTACCTCATCTGATGATGTATGTACTCGCTGAAAGCAACACTAAGAGTGGTTCAAAATGATGAATGAAAAATGTTTAGAAGGAATGTGATATAATAATTGTTGGTATGTTTGAATTTGGTACGATTCATATAACGATGCGCAGGAATGTGATATAAACTTGGATGGGATGATCGATCACGACGAATTTTGCGATTTCATCCAGAAAATGACAGCTGATACATTCACAGTTGTTAGTCAAAAACTTATTTTGACATTGGTTGTAGCACCTTCTGTTGCAATGGCAACAAAAAGAGCCACTGAAGGTGTCCCTGGTGTTGGAAAAGTGGTGCAAAGGTTACCAAATGCACTTTATGCATCCCTTGTTACCCTTGCAGTTGTGTGGTTCCAAAAGATGGGAGATCAGTCTGGAATCTGATTATTAGTACTATCATTTTTCATCATTTCTTATAAAGAAAACCATAGAATTATCATGATTGTACATATCAGTACCATTGTTTGCATGTAAGTTATAAAATTGCTGTCCTGAATAAGAATGGTTGTATTTGACATTTTGAACAAAAATACATAGTCTTGACTTTTCTGTAAAAGGCTATGCATGTGATAATAAAAGTAGATGAGATAAGCTCTCAAAGTTATAATAAAATAATGATGTGAAAGGACTCATTGCCAACACTGAGTTAGTGTTATTTGAATTCAGAGTAAATCATGAAACTTGTAACAGAAAGTGTCAAGAAATGAGATATGCTTAACTAATTCCCTTAAATCAAGATTCATGGATTCAAGGAGTTGTTATAACAAAAAATTAACTAAACATGGATTCAAGATTCATTGATTGCATGTCAGCAAGCCTATGCGTGAACTGTGAGACTTAACTGAAATGTGAGATTTAACTGAAAATATCTATAGTATACCACTTTAGAAATTAGAGGATCTTGTTTTACTATAGATTTGTCAAAGACTCTCAGTTTATCTTTGAGATTGATGATATAAGATACAAAGAGAGGTTTGGCGAGAACATCTGTTCATGAGACAATACTATACTTTTGTTCATTGTTTTATCTCTGACAAAGAATATGTCAAGCTTTAAGTGTTTTGTTTTTCTATGGAGAGCTGATTGTGCTTAAAATTGACACATAGTAATTAAGGATTGTGAAACTTAAGTTGCAGCTTAGAGAGAAGGGATTGAAGAAAAAGAAAATCAGCAAATAGAGTGGCAAAGCTCTTGTATTCTACTTTTCCATTGAAACAAGCTACTAAATTTTGTTTTCTGGACTACCATGAAATAAGGTTTGGGCTTAGATAGTTACGGGATCTTAAAGTAAATAAGTAATTTCTTTTCCCATTCTTATAGGATCTCTCCCAAACCCTTGGCGAAAAATAAAAAATGCTTTCAGTTTTCAGAGATGCATCTCTGAACATATCGTCTCCTCACTTTTTCAAAATTTAATTCAAAGATGCATCTTCGTATTTGGTTTAGGGTTTGTTCGCAGATATATCTCTGAAATATAACCCTTAATTTCGAATTCAAGGGGATTTTCAGAGATGCGCCTCCGAGCGTGTTTAATGCATATATATCGCGTGAGACCTTCTCTCTTCTCCTTCATTTTTTGGAACTTTTTCCTTAACTTCAAGCCACATTTGGAGCTCGTAGGAACATACTTCCAGTCCATTTTTCAAGCTTCCTCAAGGATCATCATTATCTCTACTTCAAGCATTTCAATCTCAACTAACTACACTTATTCATCCTCAACACTTTTTTGAGTAAGTTTCTCATTTAATTTATTTTGACTTTTGATTAATGTATTAGGTAAAATAGTTTATTATAAATGCATTAGGTAGTAGTCAAATTTATAATAGATAGTTGTTAGAGATATGCACTACGATTTGATTGCATTTTGGGTTGTTAGGGCAAAACTGGTATCAGTTTCTGTCATTGATGTAAACACGAGCTTTTTTGGAGATGCATCTCTAAATTGATGGTTTTTGAGTATGTGTATCTGAAACTCTCATGGATGCAAACTAATGTCTTTTTCTCATATTTTTTTAGGAAAAATGGCTGCAAACAACAACAATATATTGAGACTCGGTCCTAAAACTGAGCATGCGTCTGTTAGACTTGAGAGGACTAGGCTTCAGAATGAGCAAGTAAGATTTAGGCGGGGAACTGTCCCTAGGCCCCTTGGGGGGATGCATCAACTTCTAGGAGTCGTTTGTCACATGGGTCCTTATCCCTGCGACATGTTTCCCATGATCACGTAGACCGGGAAAAAGCTCATGTTGCTGCACATGATGGTGTTCCTCCACTTGCAGACCCTTTTTCCAGATGGCCTTCTGACACCTCCTTACCGATATATTATATATATCATGCTGTAGGGCAAAGTCTGAGCTGGAGATGTATTTTTGTTAGCAATTGTTAGTTATATGTTTTAAACACTTGCCCTGCGACTGATATTTTGTTTTTTTTAACAAGAGAGCGATTGTATGAAATCTGATAATCACAACAGAATGATTCTGAAGCTTTATTAGCCTAAGGATCATTGTTCTAGAGTGCCCTCCAATACTCTGGTCTTGCAGGCTTTTGTTTCTCCGAATAGAAGACAATTAGTCATGACATGCAGGGGACTTTTGTTGAGAGATGACATAAGAAAACGTCATATTTACACTTCCCCATTGACGAGATGACGATCACCCTGGATGTCGTTGCTTTCCTACTACACCTTCTCATCAGGGGGAGGTTACTTGATCATTCCAAGATCAAATGTGATGAAGTCCAGGAGATCATGATCATTTATTTGGGAGCTAATCCAATGGATGTCATGGTGCAGTGGGAGAGCACCAGAGGTGTACATGCGAAATTTTCTTACATGGAAATACTATATCAAAACAACTTGGAGTTGGCCAAGACTGCTGACAACGGTGATCTACAGGTTACCTACTGCCAGAAGTGCGCATTGAGGTATTTCCTCCTATTCTTGGTTGGCATGTCCATTTTTGTGGATGAAACTGCAACCTACGTCGATATGGAATACCTTAAGTATTTCATCAACTTGTCGGTCATTCACGAGTGGAACTAAGGGGCTGCCTGTTTGATATACCTATATTTCAAGTTGAGCGAAAGTTCTCTTTTGACGACAAAGAAAATGACAGGCTCCTGCACCTTGCTGCAGTAATTTCCATAGCCACTATTAATATTAAAACCATTTTTTTACTCTTATTACCAATACTTTTTTCTCATTCATTTTCAGGGATGAATCATATCGCACTTTCACTGCATACACAAGTTTGATTGTGTGCTAGAGTATACTGAGGATTGGTCACGTGCTTGCCTGTATTCTCGCGCATAAGGAATGATGTTAAGCGGTCGTTCCTTGTGTATATTTACCGGACTCAGCATGATGAGATCGATTGGACACCATACAACACTCATCAGGATACTGTTTAATTTGACCCCATTTCATTTTAGTCCAGATGACTGGCATGTGGAATGAATCTGATGTGCAGGTATATGTTGGGGCAATGCATGTGTCAGTTTAGTTATGTACAAATCATTTTGAGATCCCTATTTGTGTCTGCTTCTAGAAGCATCGTTTGCAGACATCTTGATGACATACTGACGGATTACGTGAGTCATCTGGTATCAGAGGAGTATCAGAGTATGACATTCACAAGTCAATGGTCTTATGTAAATGGTTACATGACTTTGTTCTATAGTGTGTCACATCCTGTCATGACATCGAACGCTCTTGGACATCCAATTAGGTCTGCTTATGAAAAGATCCTAGAAAATGAGTATGCTACGGATGATCGTGTCATTGATGTGTTGTTAATCTGTCAAAATATTATGTGGATTGTGTTGGAAGGCATATAGTCTGAGTTGTTTAAGAGAGGTGGCAATGATGTGGTGCCTTAACATGTTTCATCCTCTTTGAGGCACATAATTCCTTGTGTTACGGGCAGAAGATGAGGAGCATGGGGTTAGGATTAGACATACATAGTAGATTTTGCTTTTATTTGTATTTTGGGATATTTTATTATTTTTTCCAAACTTCTAGAAAAATTTTAACAATAGGAAATTACATAACCACTATATAAAACTTTGTTACAAAAGAGCCGATAGATGCACAAATAAATAAATCTATGGCTCATTAATCCTTTAAAATATCCCCATAGTGAAGGGCATCTTCTGCCACTTGGGAATCATCCACGATTGTCTCCCTAACAAGCAGGGCCTTCTCATCGTCTACCAATTGGCCTCCAGGACTACCTTGAACAGGTCCATCTGGCTCAAGTCTAATACTAGGTAGAGAAAATGCTACATGCTCCTTCGCCCTCTTAAAGTACTTGTCAGAGGTCTTAACCATTGCAAACATTTCCTCCTCAAGTCTCTTGAGATAACTTAGTGCCTCCCCTAAAGAGCCCCTTAATTTTGTAGCAGTGACGACATGTATTTTTGCTTTGTTGCCGCTGTCTTAAGTAGGACCTTCTATCCTCTTTCTCCTTCATCAGGTTCCTCACTACTTCTTGACATTAAATGATTATTACCTGAGTCGTGGTAAGATTCGACTTCAAGTCATCAATGACTTGAATATGCTTCCCCCTCTAGACCCATTCTATCAGTAGGCCTCTTAATAAACGAGTCTCATACAAATTAGACAGTGCAAGAGGTGACTTATTATGAAGACTTTGATAATCATTGAGAAAATAGAGATGATTCCTAATGAATTTAATGGCGTCTATAGAGGTGTCACTTTATAGGAAAAGAGGAGGGCGAGAACTATCCTTTGTTGGATGGGTCTCCTCTTCGGTTTTGTCATCCTTAGTGACCACTAGCTTCCTGTCTATGGAGCTTGAGAATGACCTTTTCTCTACTTTTGGATTTTTTTAGGCAAACATCACCCACTATATGATCCTTGCCACACCTTTTGCCCTCCACTGCCTTTTGACTAACAAGGCAACTTGGGGGAACATCCAACAACTGACATTCAACTTTCTTCTTAGTCAAGTGCTCATTTCTCTCATCCAGATTATTGGAAAGCCTAATCTGCCACTGGAAGGAAGCTATCATTTCCTCCTCAAATATAAAGATGCAAAATTATGTACAATAAAATAATTATCTTTCGTTTCTGCCATGAATTCTTGGTAAGAGCAGGGAGAGCAAGAAAGTTACTACCAATGTTAATGGGGGCCCTTATGCCCCTGAGGCCTATTAAGGGATGTCAAAAGAACAATCGCTCCTTAAAACATCCTCAATGTCATAAAGAGAAATTACAACTAAGTAAAGAATGATTAAGGGAAGAATTACGTCATACTTGTTACCATAATAAAAAAAAAAGTTGTGAAATAAATGTACCCTTCGCTTAAAATAGTCTCTCACTAGTTGACTATATGAATGAAGGATTATGGAAATGAGGTGCGAAAAAAGATCAAGAAACAATAATCAAAACTTCTAATATAAGGAAGGTTCAATTGTATGGATAACCTCCTGCTACCAACTGAGCACATCCACAATTACAATAAATGAGAAAGTCTTACACATCAAACACACATGTAGCAAGTGAAACAGAGTTTGGCTTCCTAAGGAAAATAATCATTGATTGAATTTAATACAACACACACATCCCCCCAATTGATGTATGATTGCCCTCATTTGACTGATCTTCTATCTATTTTAGTTGATTGATGTTTAAAATTCCTCTGTCGCGTATGGTCACATCATAAACATGTGGAGACGCGTTTAAAGCGACCCCCCGCTTGATGGACTCACCTTGCACAAGGGAGTTGCCTCATACTTAAGGGTCTCATTTGGATAAAAAAAGACGGAATTCAATCACTTCGCTCTTTCTAACCCTCGTGCTTGAGGGACTTTGCATTGGTATATTTTCAATGGGCCTGTGAGTAGACAAGTGAGGCAGATATTACATTCTCTCACCATAAAGATCTTCTAGCCATCTACTGAATCGACCATCCATTTATTAAATGTGTCACCACTATATTGAATATGTCTCCCCTCTCCTAAAAGAGTAACATGTGGGTAAGAAAATGGGGGAATGACATCACCTTATTCCATAACGGTATATAAGGAACCATTTTACCACGCTATTCATAATAATAATGGACTAACCGTCCATTCCCACATCTTTTCAGTGATGATTGGTATTTTTAAAGGGCTAGGATCCAAGCTCAACACCACTATAAATACCTCAACATTAAAGTTTGAGAGAACAAATAGATTCTTAAAGAAAAAAATTAGATACATAGAATTTTTCATCCCCTACGTGAACTAGCTCTCATCTCCTAAAGACAACCCTTAATCAAAAGGGATTGTTACATATTATAATTTTTAACAAGTATAGCCTTTTATTTCAATCTATTCTTATATAAATTCTCCTATTTTAAATAATTTATCTCTATATAAAGTTGTATTTAAAATCTATTTTTAATTACATATCACTTTAATTATTGATATGTCACATCATAGAAAAGTCTATATGTTATCACGTTTCATAAATAATATATTATTTGAAAAATAAATACATCAATAATTTTAAAAAGTAAAAGTGTAAAATATACTAAAAACGGTTTAAATTTAAAGTAAATAAATTAGTTTTATTTTTGTAAATGAAATAAATATATAAACACTATATTATGAACTCTCAATAATGTTAAATGCTTTAGAATTATAATTAAAACAATTTAATAAATATTTAGTTGAAAAAAATCTCTTTAAAATAGTATATTAAATAATCTAATCACTTTTAAAAAATATTTAATGCCATTTTTGTCTTGTATCTATTGGTCCAAGTTTATATCGGTCCTTTAATTTCAAAAACTATTTGCTCCCTCAATTATACTCATTGTTACAAATTTATCCTTTTTAGACATTTTTCTTAAATGTTTTAAATTTTTTTAACGTTTTGTATATGTTAGCAGGACATGGTAAGATCACAATTTATAAATATAAGCATTTCTTTATGAAATTCTTAGAAAGCAAATTTAGGGTTCATAATACTTATTCTTCAATTTTGTTTTTTTACACCTCTTCGACACTTTACTTTCTTTTTCAAAATAGAACATATTCATTCCGATAATGAAGAAAAATAAATTTCGTCTATAAATTTGTTTCTGTTTCCAAAAATTTCATGTAATGGTGGAGAAGCACTAACAACTCGAAAAAGCAATGAAGTCCTAACTGTTGATATAGAAATTTTGTGTGTTTAGAAGGGCAACAATAATTAATAATATTGGGAAGCAATTTTAGAAATGTCCAAACGATAAGGTATGATCTCTTATAGATTTTTAATTTTTTATGTTTTGTTAATTCACGTAGGAGACTATTAAAAATGGATGTGACTATTTTTCTTGATATTATGATGAAGTGAAAGATGATAACCACATATTTATTATAAAACAAAAAAAAGTTTGAAATTTTAGCAAAAGAAAATGAAGATCAACATTATAAATTAGTTCAATGTGAAGAAATAATTGAAAGACAAATAGGCAAAATTGATGCAATGATAAGAGTTAGAAGAATTTGAGGTGACTCTACCTGTCAATATGTTTGTGGTATACTGTGATTTTTTTACATCAAATTGACATTAATAAATTGGACATCAATTTGACAGGCCAATTAAATAGTTTATTGCAATGTTTTAAAAATTAGATCGGTCATCAAACTAGTGAAGGTACTAGGTCGTTGGTTTATTGGTCAAACCACTAGATCACTGGTCGAACTGTATGACTAAACCGCATTATATCGGATAACTCGGCTGAATAAATTGGTTTATATAAAAAACTATACATTTAACAAATTGGTCGAACCGAATGACTCGGTCTCTAAAAAATATCACGACACCTACAGAATTTCAAAATATCATAATTTCACAAGTTCGTTCTTTAAATTCAAACTTTTGACGTAGTCATAACGCACGACAAAATAATATAAAATACAAATCCAAATAAAATTTGAACAATATCTGATTTCAAACGAAGAAAAATTATTCTAAATAAGTTTTAAATAAAGTTTATTTATATTTTAATTTTATTTAAAAAATAAATTATCGAAACTGCGTCGTTATTATAATGTATTTAAACCGCCAGTTTTTCAAAACCGCTGATTCACTGGTTTTTAGCGGTTTTGATCAGTTCTGATCGATTCTCATTAATTCAATAGCATATTCGATCCAACAATCAGACCAGACTGATGACCTCTCCAATTTCCAATTTGACCAGCGAGTTAGGTCCAATTTTTAATACACAAGTTTATTGTATACATCTACTTTTTTAACATCAAATTACCAGACTAAGTACATATGTACATATGTTTCTGGTATACTATGGTTTATTTGGACACCAATGCCATTAATAAATTGGACATCATTTTAGTTGAATTGGATGCATCATTTTTTTATTGGATGCATCATGCTTGTATTAGGATACAATAATCAATAAACATTCTTGTATCAACAAACAATAATAATTAAACATAGAATAACAAAATATTAAACTTCATTAATTAATTAGCAACCTCATCAAGAACAAAATACCAAAACAAAATACAAAAAGGTAACCCAATACATCAAGATCATACACATAGTCATAATAGATTTTCAAAACACATCTAACTTAACATTACAACTATCCTAATCCAAAACAAGGTTTCAAAAGGATTTAACTTAATATCATAATAATTTGTCTTCCTGTTTGTTTCAGATGAATTAAACTTAGCGGTAGGGCATAAGACATTTCTGATTGTATTTAACCTGATTGTAGGCCTGGTAATCCAACACTTCTTGTTAGTTTTCTTATGCTTAACTTCTTGACATTATGTATTTATCCATTTGCCTTAGCGGATCTTGATTCACTTGCATGAGGTTGAGTTTGAGTTGCCTGAGAAAACCCTGAGAATCAGAACAAATATAAATTTCTAAAATTCTGAGAAAACCTTACTACGAAGATTATACTTTAAAATCATGAGAAAACCCTAAAATGAATACTTTATGTTAAACCTTATGCATTAAACCCAATAAAATGAAAAACTAGTAAACTCTAAATTAGAAAGAGGCAAACAATAAAAACCTAGTAACCTTAAATTATAAAATGGACGAAAAATTAGACAAACTAGTAAACTTGTCTTTCTCTTTTCGCTTCATTAAATACTTATCTTCCTCATCCTCATTTTGTTTCCTCTCACTTCAAAATTCGTTCATTCGTTCGCAGCCTAGTTGGAGAGTTTCTTCTTTCACAATAACACACCTTCGTCCTTCCTCCCTTTCACTTTGAGAAAAAATATGAGAGAAATTTCACCTTTGCAAATGTATTTCACCTAAGTGACATTGAACAATTACATTGACTTTGACTAGCATCTTTGACGACAAAGACAAACATAACTTTGATTGAATAATTAAGAGATCAAAATAAACGTATTTTAATTAAGGGATCAAACTGAAACTTGCAAAAAGATATAGGAATAAAAAGAATATTAACTTTAAAAAAAAAAAAAAATTTGTTGGTAATAATCATCTAACTTTTAAATTTTAAAACCAAAAAAATGATTAAAATTTATTTGTTATTTTTTTGAATTTAACTAATATGTACCAATAATAATTTTTTTTATACTGTGAATTAAAATCATATTTAAACTATATTTAAAATAATAAATATGAATATTTGCGATAAACTCCCGTTAGAGTGCATGAATTAGTTTTTCTTTTTTTAATGTTTTCATGAATTTATGAACATATATATAACAAATCCCAATTTTTTTCACAAATTATTTATTTTGCCACGGCAAAAATCACGACTTTGGATCAAACGCAAGAAGAACAACACAATGATAGTTGCAACGGCAAATTCCTTCGGAAATCGAAATTCATTGTTGATATCCCTTCTTTTAGTTTCATCTTCACTTCACTTCTTCTGTATCTCTCCACTCCTTGCCAAATCTTCTCCTCACCCAATCTCTGTCTGTATCACAACAATTTCCTTTTTTGATTTCACTTTCTTTATCCCTTTTGGATTTTCATTTCTGGGTTGTTCAATTTTATGCAGGATGTTCAAGTTAGGAGCAACAAGCTTCAATGCTATGCTGATATTGACAGGTTTTCACCTTTCCCCACTTTTAACTCATAAATCACATTATAGTATATAAATGTTCCTTATAGTATATTAATGTTCCTAAAATACCTTTTTGGGATAAGAATCTGTTCAACTTTGAGGGGTAAATTTGTCAAAACAAATTTATATACCGCCCTCTTGTCCTATTTATAAGAAAAAACATTTTTTTTAAAGATTAATGAATAATTAATATGTTTGGTCTATTGAATAGTCAATAGGTCTGATTTATTGTATTGATCAGATGCATTGATCATTTGAATGAATCTAAAATGATGGTTGTATTTAGAGACATGTTTTTGACCTTATACTTAGTGAAAGTGTAGTATATTTCTGTCTGTGGTTGTGTCCACTACCAAACCAAACGCATAGAGTATTGTTTTATATGGCTTTCCTTCAAAGTTAAGCATAAACTAAATTTACTAATATCTTCAAAATCGGTAATGATATATTGCATTACATTACACTCTTCCTTTTGAAGACATCATCATTACATGACACAAATCGTTTACATAAAGCTTTAGCAAACCACATAAACCACCATCCACTACTGCAATTCTCCCTCCACCATGTTTCTTGTTTTTGTCTTTCTCCTCCAATTGTGTTTCTTTTCTCACATTGGTTTTTCATCTCATTGTACTACAGAAACATCTAGTAAAACTTTTCAAAAATGTATGAACCTTCCTACTCAACAGGCTTCTATAGCATGGACTTTCTACCCACATAACTCCACCTTAGAAGTAGTTTTCTTTGGAACTTTTATTTCACCTTCTGGGTGGGTTGGATGGGGGATTAACCCCACTTCACCGGAGATGACGGGAACTCGTGCTTTAATAGCCTTTTCTGACCCAAACACGGGTCAAATAGTCTTACTCCCTTACATTCTAGACCCGAATGTGAAGTTACAGAAATCTCCATTACTTTCTCGACCTTTGGACATCCGCCTTGTCTCTTCCATGGCAGCCATGTATGGTGGTAAAATGGCCACCATACACAACGGTGCTGCCATTCAAATCTATGCCACAATCAAACTTGAATCAAACAAAACCAAAATCCACCTTGTTTGGAACCGAGGACTTTATGTTCAAGGCTACTCGCCTACCATTCATCCAACCACGTCCACTGACCTCTCTTCCATTGCCACCTTTGATGTGTTGTCAGGTTCGTCCGCTCCTCAACACACAGACCTCACAATGCTCAGAGTAATTCACGGCACCATGAATGCCATTTCTTGGGGTATTCTCTTGCCGATGGGAGCCATAACTGCCCGTTACTTTAGGCCCATTCAAGCACTAGGTCCTGCATGGTTCTATGCTCATGCAGGAATACAATTGTTTGCTGTCATTCTTGGAACTGTGGGATTCGCCATTGGCATTCGCCTCGGGCAACTGTCTCCAGGAGTAGAGTACGGGCTCCATAGAAAGCTTGGAATCGCCGTGTTTTGCCTTGGAGCTTTGCAGACTTTGGCATTGTTGTTTAGGCCAGACACTAGGAACAAGTTCAGGAAGTATTGGAAATCGTACCACCACTTTGTTGGGTACTCTTGTGTGGTGCTTGGGTTTGTGAATGTGTTTCAGGGATTTGAAGTGATGGGGGCCAGCAGGTCATATGCGAAGTTGAGTTACTGTTTGGGGCTTTCTACTCTGATTGGTGTTTCCATAGCTTTGGAGGTGAACTCTTGGGTGGTGTTCTGTAGGAAATCTAAGGAAGAGAAAATGAGGAAAGAGGGACTTATTGGAACTTCTGACAAAGGGAGTAGTGGCATCCACACTTGAGAGGAGAATACATACACACATACTTTGTAGCTGAAAAATTGAGGAAGAGAATTATAATGTTGCTCCACTTTTTTGCTAAGAGTAAATATTTTAATTTGGTGCTGAAAAATGTTGCTTGTGTTATTTTAGTCCCCAAAGTTTCTTTTATAAGGTGAATTTGTTAGTGAGTGGAGAATTTTGGGAACAAAGTTATATTTATGAAAACCTCTGAGGATCAAAGCAAGTAATATCTTTGTGGGACCAAATTGTATATTCACTCCATTTCTTTATTAATGTATTTGCCATTATAATTAAAAAAACGCTTGATTCCAGTTCCAAACAATGCTTATATAGATGTGTGCACTTGAATTTACTATTTCAGGGTCTGGATTCTTTGTTTTTTTATTGAAAATTTGGTTCGGTTGTTGAGTGTTGAACATGTGTAATGTTTGGAAACTGTAGTTGATTCAGAGTTACAGATTTGCTATTAACCTGTTTTCCATCGTTATAACTCGGATATGTTTGCTTCTGGTTCAGTGCAATATGTCGTGATGTTAGCAGTTGCACACTTGCACTTGGTTTTCAAATATCAGTGTTTTTTCTCCTCTTGAAAAATTAATTAGGTTGTGATGTATACACAACGTTTGGTAGTTTTTTGTGAAGCATGTCCTGTAGCACCGACACCTGTGAACAAAGACATGTTTGGTGTCCAACACTATCAGTGTCTGACACTGACACATGCAATTACATTTAATTTATTCAGTTTTCTAAATTATTGCCGGTGTTGACGTGTCAGTGTCGTTGTTTTGTCTATGGTTAATGTTTGTGCCAGTGCTTCGTAGGAAGCGTGGCTCATATTCACTATTAAGTGGGTAGACGCTCGAGTATACTGTAGCAAGTGGAGCTGAATGCTTTAATTAAAGTAAGAATATTCAAAAATATATTCTTGGAAATCCAATATAAATTAGTAAGCATTGCATGATAGAAAAACTAAAGCAGCCATTTAGCGTCAGCGATGTAGGACACAATTTGTGGAACTCCGTGATCAATGTTTTTTGCTCTTGTGTGTTATTTATCTGTTTTTTTAGGAGTCGGATTTGTTGTTCTAACAATTGGTATACACATTTGTAATCTTTTTGTGGATAGTGGGTTGTGGGGTTGGTCATGCAAATCATCGATGATAGCAAGGGAGAACTGTGCTCTGCGATGCCTTTCACCATCTTGTTACGAGCTTATCTACGAGAGTGACCCGGTAAGGCATTTTTGCGTGTCATATCCTTTTTAGTATGGTTGAGATTAATAGCTTTGTTTTACCCGTTCTGACGTTTTTGGAGATGCTCAACTAGACTGCATTTTTTCCGTTGTAGCTTGAAGAAGGAGAAAAGGACTTCGTTCGGAGCCAAGAGTACAAATACTGCATGCATAAGTATGTTGCTGCAACTTGATGCTCAGAATTTGTATAAGTCATTCTTTCCCACGAGTGATTAGATTTACAAATAGCAACCTTGTATGTGTAGATGAAGCTTTTATTTCAAGTATATTTATGTGTTTACCATGCAGGTTGTCCATGGGAGAGACCCTCGAGGGTGTTAAGGGTGCGTTTGGCCAATAATCAATGCAAAACTTGTGAATTTACGACGAGGTTTTGGTGAATATATATATGCTCTAACTAATTTCATTTAGATTAAATTACGGATATTCAATTATGTGTTCTTGAAAAGCTGTGTTTTGTACCTTCAAGACAGATATGGTAGCATACAAGTTGATTTGTACATTTCTTACTGTTAAATTAGTTTAATGCACCAATAATACATAACTTGGTCTCTCAAAGACCAGACTTGTATTTTGGCCCAAACCGAGTATCTCCCGTGCATCTGTTGGAGGACTAATTTCTCGAGTTAGGCAGAATCGCATGAGGAGCAAAGCTCTATCTTGTTTCGCTTTTATCAGCTTTGTTTTTCGAAAGTTACGTGGAAAGATGAGACATTTGTTGTGTTGTTTTGGTTCCACAAAGCTTGTGTTTATAAAAATTGTTTTTGCAGATAATAAGTTTTGTTACAAATTTGACATTATTGTTTGTATGGTGAAGTTGTTAGCAAGTTGAAATACTCTTTTAAAACTTAACGAAATAAGATTTGAATTTTAACTATATTCATATTTAGTGAATGAGTCCTTCAAAATATACAATTTAAATATGAATACAAAATTAAACCACATTAAATTTGGTTTGATTTGAATAAGTCCTTCAAAATATACAATTTAAATAATATTTTGCATTGATTCAATTTACAGTTCTAAAATTTCAATTCTAAAATGTGTTCGTGTTTAAAAAAATTATTTTTTCTAAAATATTTCTCACTTGTACGTAATTTTCATTTTTATCTTCGAATTTTAGTGTCTAATTAATATTTTTAATTTATTTTGTTTTTCATTTTATATTAATACTAATTTGAATACATCAATAATTTATTAGAATAATATTAAGTCACAGGGTTAGTCATTAGTGCAAGGATTACTTGTTAAATCTATTTATATAAATAAAAATAAAACAAAAAATATATTTTTTATATAAATTTTATAAATATAAAATTTAAATAAAATATTGTGAAATTTATTTTGAATGACAAATCTTATATAAAGTTCCAATTTTAAAAGACAAAGTTTCAAATATTTTTAAAAATAAGAATGTAACACAATTATAAAATATTTTTGGAAATAAAAATATAACACAATTATAAAATAATGTTATAACAAGAACACAAATTTAAATAAATTACAACATATAATATTTAAAAGATTTTTTATATATGAGGAAAGAGAAACATTATTTTATTTCTTTCAATAGCAAGAGAAAATTTAAACCGGTTCACAAAACAATTACTTAAAATCCAGTGAACCATTTAAAAAATAAATAAACTGGGTATCCACTATTACTTGTACGCAAAAACAGACACCCACACCAACAATTACAAAACTTTCCTTCTCTGCAATTCTCAACCAACATCAAAAGCATAATCTCCCAACAACTCTGCAACAAAGCTTTTCATGGCTAGAAACCCTAGAATTGTAGTATATGCACTTTTCTGATTGTCAACAACTTTGAGGTAAAACCCAATGTGATTTTTTCAAGATGTATATGCACTTATGATTTTTTCAAGATGTATAGCTGCTGATAGAATCGTTTGTAAAACTAATTCGCATGTGAACCAGATTTCATTCCAAACCGGTTTTGAACCGTTTCCCACTTCCGATCCGGTTTTGGTGAAAGATGGTCTGGTTTTAAAAACTGAACCTATAAACCGGTTACTGGATGAATTACATATCAATTCTCTCTCTCTTTTTGTTTTTCTTTTTTTTTTAATTTTATTTTTATACATGTCAATTATTTTTTCCAAGTTGATTCTTTCTTTATTTTACCTATTAATTAATATTAATCCAACAACCTAAATTTGTAAGGAAAAAAAAAAGACAAAAGCAATTATCTGTTACTTTTCTTCAACTGAGGATTTTATTGTGTTGTGTTGTTAGAGGGAAATGATGGCAGTGTTGAGTAATGGGAGTCCATGGATAAAGGTTGTTTCACCATCTTTTCCCTTTCAATTTCTTCATCAATCACATGCTTACACTTCACGAATCTTATCCTTTCCACGTAAATTCTCTGTCAATGCTCTTTCACAACAATCCCTTCCTGTTCGTGTTCGTTTTGCTCCTTCTCCTACTGGTAATCTTCACGTTGGTGGTGCAAGAACTGCCCTCTTCAACTACTTGTTTGCCAGGTGAGATCCTTTTGTTTTTCCTTTTCTAATCATGAAAAAAATTCAATTTTTATTTATGGGTTGGCTTGTTTTGGTTTTTTATGTTCTGGGTTTGGTTTGTTTTGATTTTTTGTTTTTGTTTTTTTTCAAATTTGGGAAAAAAATTCAAGTTTTGATTCTGGGTTTGGATGGTTTTGATTTTTTATGTTATGGGTTTTTTGATTTAGGTCTAAAGGTGGGAAATTTGTGTTGAGAATAGAGGACACTGATTTGGAGAGGTCTACAAGGGAATCTGAGGAGGCGGTGCTTCGAGATCTTTCTTGGCTTGGACTTGATTGGGATGAAGGTAGAAGATTATGCATTTTGTTGTTGTTGTTGATGTTGTAGTTGTATGGTTAGTTTGTTTATTTGGGTGATATTTGTTTTGCTTGATGATTGAGTGATGTGGTGGTGAATTTGTTAGGGCCTGGTGTTGGTGGAGATTATGGTCCATATAGGCAATCTGAGAGGAATTCTTTGTACAAACAATATGCTGAGAAACTTCTTCAATCGGGTCAAGTTTATCGTTGCTTCTGTTCTAATGAGGTATTTTCAATCTCCTCAACTTGTAATGGAATGGAATGGAACGAAAACCTTTGTTGTCATGTCATTTTGATTGAGGTTTTGTTTGTCTTGATATAGGAGCTAGAGAAAATGAAGGAGGATGCTAAACTAAAGCAATTGCCTCCAGTATATACAGGTAAATGGGCCTATGCAACAGACAAGGAAGTAGAAGAAGAGCTGGCAAAAGGAACTCCATATACATTCCGGTTTCGTGTCCCAAAAGGAAGTTTAAAAATTAGCGACTTAATACGAGGCGAGGTGAGTTCTTTCCTACCTTCTAACCTACCTATCCGCCATACTACCTTGCATAGCCTGAGCTTTGTAACAGATATGTTGCAAATCCATACTCTTCCGCTTATTATGTTGACTAGCTATTAACTTTCTTTGGTAGTGTCTTTGAAGGTTAGTTGGAATTTGGATACACTTGGAGATTTTGTGATAATGAGGAGTAATGGTCAGCCAGTTTATAACTTTTGTGTCACTGTTGATGATGCTACCATGGCTATTTCCCATGTTATCAGGTAATGATTTATTTTCATATTCAACCAATCTGTTTGATAACATATTTTCACTATCTTATTCCACAAAATATTTTTAATTCAGAGCGGAGGAGCATTTACCTAACACTCTAAGGCAGGCATTAATATATAAGGTACAGCGCAAACCATAAAGTATATATGCTTGTTGTCGTATCGGTTTATGCAATAATCTCGGTCACTGATTTTGGTTTGTGCTGCATCCGTGCATGAATTTGTTTACAGGCACTAGAATTTCCCATGCCTAATTTTGCACACGTTTCCTTGATTTTAGCTCCTGATAGGAGTAAATTATCAAAACGACATGGAGCAACATCTGTCGGTCAGGTAAGGTTCATCCATCATTTCTTGATTACATATTTTCTAAAGTTTTATGAGGTCTCACTTGACTTTTTTACTCTTAATTTTAGGGTTAAATATGTTTTTAGTCCCTATAAAATTCACAAATTTTCAAAACTGGCCCCTACATAAATTGTCCAATTTTAGTCCTTACAAGGTTAAAAACAGTTTCTTTTTTTTTTTTCGTAAGAAGTTATTAATATAAGGACTAAACTTGAAAATTTTATGTAGGAAGTAAGCTTAAAATGTCGTTTAGGGACTGAAAACATATTTATCAGTTAATTTACATGGTAAGTTCTAATAAAGCTTCTGCTTTTTTAAGTGGTGATTAGCTCTAAAACTTCAATATCTTCTGTGTTGCAGTACAGGGAAATGGGATACCTACCCGAGGCAATGACAAATTACCTAGCATTATTAGGTTGGGGCGATGGGACCGAAAATGAGTTCTTCACCCTTGATAAACTTGGTTAGTGAATTTTCTGATTGAACCCCACTTTTCTGATTTTCTATTCATATAGTTTCACAACCTTCTTACTTTAAAATGCCTTTCTGGTGTTAAACAGTTGAAAGATTCACTATTGAACGTGTGAACAAAAGTGGTGCAGTTTTTGATTCCACAAAGTTAAGGTAAGTGTTATAATTTGCCTACTTTTATGAATGAATCCTATGTGTTGTTACACATCGTTATCCTATAACAAGATCAAATCGGTAAAAAAAATCTTACAGTTGCTTATTACAGATATTAGGATGGATGCTACATTCATTTGCGTACGATTTGTGTCCATTAATAATAAATTTATTCGTATCATAAAATTAGTGTTTTTTACTATTAGGAGTCCTTGCAAAGTTTTGCTACTATTACTACAAAATTATAATTCTATGACCTTGTAATTTTCTTTATACCTTTTGAATTAGATGGATGAATGGTCAACATTTAAGAGCACGTCCATCAGAGGACTTGAACAAACTTATCGCAGAGCGCTGGAAGACATCTGGCATGCTCACAATATCAGAAGGGCCCTTCGTTGATGTGAGATCCAATTCCATGCTTTGTTGATTCAGTTTCCTTATAAAAGAATCGGTTTCGTTTCATATTTTTTTCTGAGGCATTGTGGTTTATTTAGTATTTTGTCATCACATCTTCTAACAGGAATCGATTGAACTACTTAAGGATGGAATTGAGTTGATAACTGATGCAGATACTGCACTTTCGAATTTGCTTTCTTATCCTCTACATTCTACTTTACAAAGGTGATGTTCATATTCTTCTATTTAGATAATCCTAATTGTACAATTGACATTTTCCTTTTATTGATTTTCCCGATTTTCTACATGTTGCTTAATTGCAGCCATGAAGCAGAATCTGTCATACAAGATAATCTTCCCGAGTTCTGTGCCAGTTTCTTGGCTGCCTACGATAGCGGTGATCTGTTACGTGCGCTCGAAGAAGGCCAAGCTGGCTGGAAAAATTGGGTCAAAAGCTTCGGCAAATCACTTAAGCGGAAGGGAAAATCACTCTTCATGCCCCTTCGGCTTCTGCTGACTGGGAAACTCCACGGACCAGATATCGGAGCTACTGTTGTATTGCTTTATAAAGCTGGGACCAGTGATATCATAGCTTCTGAAGTTGGTTTTGTGACAATTGATGAAAGAGTTAAAGTTCTTAGGCAAATTAATTGGGAAACATTATCCAAAGATCATGCTGTGAAGGAAACTGCTTCCACCGTCTAATTGAGAATTCACCATCAAGGTCTACCTCATAACTATATGGTTTTGCACTGGTTCTATTTATTTTGAGGCTTTTTTTCATTTTTTGTTTTTCTAACTTTTTTTACAATCAAATTTTGTAATTTTATTGAGGGATGTTGATTTTCATTATTTCCTTGTGAGGTGAGGTAGTTAGATTTATTTCCTACTACTTTAATTTAGGTTTGAACTTTGCTATAAATTGAAGATTTAAATTATCATAGAAATAAGGTGATGATTGAGTGCACCTGCCATTTTATAGTAAATAATTTTGATCCTAGCAATATTGAACTTATTCAAAATAATTAACAGATGGAACATAATCATAGTTTACGAATTCATATGAATCACTATAACCTTCTTCATTTTAGACTGCAAATGTTATTAAATTGATTTGTGGCACGTCAACCATGTCTGCTGACAAAGAATCTTTATTGAACTTGGAAATGTTGATTGGATTGATATGCTGGCATGACAAGATTGTTTGATGGTTGATACTTTACAATGACGTTAGCTTTTTTTTTTTTATAATTATAAAAGACAAGGCATAGCATATGTATATTTTAAAAATTATCAAACAGAATAAATAGAATGACAAACTAATATAAGCAACATAAGATCATTTGGTTGAGATAGTAGGAGTCGTATTGAGGGTTAGTTTCTATATTTATTATGTATATATTCAAATTCAACTGTTGATAGAGATCTTTGTTGTTTATTATGGTGTTCCCCGTCTTGAGGGTTAGTTTCTATAATTTATTATGTATATATTGTTTGAATTTTGACATTTGGATTTATAAAAACATCAAGATGATCTCTTCCTCTCGAATGATCAAATTCAAACCAAATTTAAGTAGAAAAAATCAAAACATATTTGTATTTGATATAACCTAGTCTAACTTGACTAGAATCTATTAAGGAATTGTATTACATAATCTAATGTGAAAAATTGAGGGTGTTTGTCTTGAATGCAATGGAGTATAAATTGATGAAATTGCTTGTCTTGAATAAACAAAATAGAATTTAAGAGAATGAATGAAAAAATTAAAACTCTGAATTTCTTAGGGTACTTTGTGTTTCTAGAGCTGATTTCAAATATAAAAGAATGGGGGAGAGAAAGATCCGATAACTTAGGTGTGTCAGAAGGGAGAATCTGTAATTCAATCTAGTAACATTTTTTACTCCACTTCTTGGAGTTCTTACGCACCATGTGCACTTCCAAAAATATCCTCTGCTTTTAGAGATGTATCTTCGGACACACATTTTTTTTACTCAACGTTGATTCTCTTCGAAATTACATCTAAGAAATGTTTACGTTTATATAACTCTGAAACAAATCAGAATACATTCGCGTCAGAGTCTCTTCTCCTCTTTTATTCTTTATTTTTCAACTTCTTCACTCTCAAACTCTCTAAATCCTAAAAAAAAAAAAAAATCACCAAACTTAATTGTTTTCAATCAAGTTCGACAAGGAACATTCATCTTAACAATCACGACACTCCAAATCATTCAAATCTCGATATAATCGATAAATTTTCGAGTTTCCGGGGTATTTTCGAGTATTTCCTGTAAACGGGTTAGAATATAGTTTTAGGGGTAAAAATCATTAGATAGTTTTAGAAACATAGTTTAGAGGCAATGTAGGTATTCTTTGTTGACTGAAACAGACGATTAGGGTTTTAAAAAATCAATTTACATGGGTAGGGGATGTCGTTGTCGTGGCTGTAGGAGTTGTAGAAAGTTACGGAGCTTCATCTACGAAACAAATTAACGTTAAGGAAATTCCGTAGATGCAATTCCGGAACAAATCAGACGTTGTGAATTCTGACTTCTTCTGTAGATACATCTACGAAAGGTTTCTGTGTGTTCACATCCAGAAGTAAAAAAAAATGTTAATTTTTTTCTTTTTTTCCTTTTTAAGTTATTTATGTCTAATTATTTTTTCTTGGTTATACCTTGCAGACAGTATGACAGACAGAGAAGATAGATTGCGACTTGGACGGGTTTCACAAAATGCATCTGTGAGACGCAACCGGAGTCATACCACCGTTACTGAGGCCGATACAGTTGAGACACATCTTTCTTCATCACATGCTCATGACATTCCCTCGACCTCGTATCCCACCCCCATCATCCACTTCTTCATTCCGGAGGCGACATGATTCAGTTGAGGGTTCATCACAGGTCCCGTCCTGCCGAGGCTCGGGCGACCAAAGCGCCGATAGACCGGAGCTGCGTTGATGGCTACATCATGTGGTTCTTCAGCGTCTCACACCCCTACATGGTAGCCACTGCCGAAGGATCACCGTCCAGACCAGATCATCAGGAGATCTTAGAGGAATAGCAGTCTCAGTTGGACCGCACTCAGGATGTCTTGCCTCGCTGTCGTCAGATAGTGGAGATGGGGCGGACAGACATTGTTGTTGGTTTCTTTCTTGAGGGATCTGACCACAATATTGGATGACATGATTGTGGTGGCAGCATGGGCACTTATGTACCGCAGACATCGCGCCAGGACAGGTAGGATTGTTGGCCGAGGAGGCGGGAGAGGCAGATGAGGCGGCAGAGGCATAGGCAGAGGAGGAGATGCAGATGTTGTCAGGCACGCACATTATGTCATTTTATATTCATCTGCAACAGTTAATTTTCATCTGCAACAGTTAAATTTCATCTGCGACCAACAAAACTTGATTTTTTTTTTTTAAATCTGTCTTGATAAGATTTCAAAGATGCATCTCCGAAACTTTTTCCGTAGATGCATCTCCGGAAACATCCAGTGTAAAAAAAAATTGTGCATTCAAATATGTATTTCTGAAAACAAACAGTATAAAAAAAAATTTGCTAGGGCCTAGGTGCCAAAAAAATTTGCTAGGGCCTAGGTGCCAAAAATTTGCTAGGGCCTAGGTGCATTCAATCTCATAACATATTTTTAACCAAGTGACAATCCGACCGATGGTACGGACAAATGACAAATTCCTTACATAATGAATTAAATTTGTTTACAGTAGTAGAAAAAAAAATTTCTTTCGTATTTATATTTTGAATGGAGAATTGTACCCCAAAAATTTGGTTTAAGAGTTTAAAAAAAATTGACGACAATTTGAACTTGTCTTTTAGAAGTTGCGTTGTGCAGTTCAAATTATTATGGTTCGGTTATATTGTGTCCACCTCTAATTTTAATGCAAGGAAAAGCTTCATACATTGAAAAAGCATTAATCAAAAAGTCCACAAATTGGAGCATCTCGATACATGTTGATCGAAATCAGTTTTCGGTTGCTATTTACATTATGTGCTTCTGAAGTGAAGTTCTTGCTTATCTTATAAGTTGGATCCCTTGTTGTTTCAAATACTACAATTCACAACTGATCCACATTTGTAGATACAGTTTCAGGAGAAACATCCTCAGAAAATATGAAGTACTTAGTTGCACTAAAAATGCTGGCTAGATGCAGAATTACACTTTGATACGAGTAGCTTGGGGGCAGGACAGGTGTTGGAAGAGAAGGGACACATGTTGGAAGAAATTCGTTTTTATCGTAAACTGGTGCATACAAGGTCAACACTGTCTGGCAAAATATGAATCTGCACAAGGTAGGAAACAAAAAGATTTGATGGTTAGAGAACTGAGAATTATGGGAAATAACAACAAAATCGAGAAACATCAGAACAAAAATGAAGACAAATTTTACCTCAAAAGAAGTCTCCTTATGAAGGGATCGCCTAAAACCTGTCCCCAAACTGGATCAAGCGTATCCGATGATGCCAACGCCAATCCCCAGTTATTTAATGATGACGAGAGCAGCATTTCAGCTTTATTGTACAAGTCCTGAAATCAAATTTAAGTTGCTGAATGATGAAAGTGCCGAGCATAGAAATTTCTCACTTCCAGAAAATGAAAAGAATTTACATAAACAAAAAAACAAGGAACTCAGCTAGCATGAAGAATAAGGCATACCAAATCAATATCAGTGCCTGAAAATCCTAGCAGCAGACAGAAAGCTTGCAGCGGAGCTGTAAGAAACATGGTGAATAAGCTCCCATTTGAGGTATGTGAGAAATCAGACTCAATAGGAGGCAAGCGGCTTGGAGAAAGGAGCATTGCCACTGACTCTCCTTTACTTGCTTCTGCTATGACCTGCACATTCTATTGATTGCTTGTCAAATGTGTTGTAACTTGTAAGATGTGAAAATGACAAATTTGATCACAAATAACAAAATAGTTGAACATAGTTGAAATAACCAATTGTATAATATCTATTGTTAAACTTTTATAGGTTTACATACTCTTAAAAACATATTTGTAAATTCTTGATAGAGGTGCCTTGCTGCCAAGTGCCAACCCCCAAAAATGGTGGGAAAAAATGGGATAAGAATAACCACCATTCCCGGAGAGCCCAAAAAATATACAAAAATGAAAGAAAATGTGACAGCCATAGATTTTTCACTAAATATTTGGTGTTTCTCTGTCATCATTAATGTCACGTCATTGTAGGGACTAGGAACTGCAATTGAATTGGGAAATCAAACCACCTAGCAGTGAATTTATGATTTTTTCTTTCTAAATCCATAGGTTATACTAGCTCTCAATAACTATTCTAAAGTTTAAATTGCAGCACCATTAATTCCTACCAAATTATAGGGTAAAGTTAGCATTAATAAACTTTTACTGATACAAGTGATAAATTCAATAAATTATTCTAATCAAACAAAATCAAAAAACAAAACGACTGAAGTGGTAAGGCTTGCCTTAAAAGCATTGCTGTTGTCATTATCAATGACTAAAAGAAGTGGTCTTCTAGTAAACGGTAGAAAGTCAGATGCATATATGCAATTTGATCCTGAAAAGGAATTCGGTTAAAGTAGTCTAGTTTTCCAATAAAAGCATGTATATTATGAGAACTCATAATATCATCATAATACAGATTTATGCACTGGATGACAGTTAAGATGACACAATATTTCAATTGAGTACGTATGACCATAACTAATGTTATATCCTTGGATTTTAAGTCCTCTATTCAATATGTTTGGACCTATTTAAGCAAACTAACACACCAAATGACTCCAAGGTCTAAGCAACTCATGGAAAGAACCGATTTAAACAAGTAACTGTCAGAACACTTAAACATCGTGCAGGTTCATTAACATAACCATTACGACTATCAAAACCCGTCATGAACAAATTCTGCAAATGTTTTAGAAAGTAGGTGGAGGTCAGAGAATGGTGGAGTCTTCAATACATCCTCTTATGTAAGAGCCATTAGAGGCCTTAGGCATGGACAATACAGAAACACGAGCTCATTTTATGCCAAAACTGAATACAGAAATGAAGGCAGGTGACAAGGATTCCATCACTGGCCATTTGATTTAAAACCCATCTCTGTAATGCTGCGCATCAATAGACAAAAATCAGTCCCAAGTGATGTGCCAACAGCCCAGCAGCCATCTTGCCTCTGCTGTCACGTTTTTAAAATTTTGACAACTTTCATACACATTGCACATCTGAGAGAAATTCATAGAAAGAGATGATGACAGGCTAAGCAAGTGAGAGAGCAAGAAAGAAAAGAAAACTTCTGTTAATACTTAATACAGAATCAAGGAGACTATCATCCTCTAAGGCTTTCATTGTGAGTTGGGTTTTGGAGGGGAGGAGAGGGCTTACTTTTCTTTTATAAACCCAAGACACAATATGTTTTTAAAAATGAACTAAGTGTGATTGAAGTATTATATGATCATCTATCATGTTCTTCTTTCAATTTGTTTTAAATATCAAATATATATCAAAATATAAACTTAGCCCTCCAAAATCTAGACTAATTTTCCCCTCTACACATTTCTTTCTGTCTCATGAATCATATCCCTAACAACGTCATTCTGGCAAAGATTCCATAGGCTGCGCTTTTAGTATTATCATGGCCTGGCCTGTGGCTTGGTATACTCACCATCATAAGATTACAAGATGCTCCAAATGGTGAGACTACCCAACTGGACCTTCAAACCACTGTCCCACAAACCACACTTGACTTTCTGGTGCATCGCACATGCTTCCAACGTTTCCCCAGCTTACTCCAAAAGATCAATTGAATTCCTCATTAGGATCACAGCTCCATTCCTTTGAACCGTATCTGCAACATCCAACGGGTATCCAGTTACCTCGTTGTTTATTTCTATAAATTCTTTACCTAGTCTCTCATTAGCAGATGGCTCCACTGCTCCAGTTATTGGTAATGGTAATGTCAGTCTACTGATTCAGTGACTTCATCTTCTGTATGTACCGTGTTAACCCCTTTTCTATTCAATGTATTATCTGTTAGACTGCTAGTAAACCTTCACGTTTCCTCAATTTGGTTATTCACTTTTATTATATATCACTCATTATCTCAGTTAGAATAATCTGACAGGGCACTATATACCAATCTGAGGCACATTCAGTTGCATGAGATAGCTTTGGGAGGAAGGATGCAGGATTCGTTCCTTTAGCATGTGTATGCAATATGCACATATGCTGGAAACGTATGTTGATCTTATTATTTTGTCTGGCTTTATTGAATATATACTTCGTAATTAGCCCATTGGCACACATTGTAATTATTGTAAATCCATGAATTTACTAGATTTGTCAGATTAAACAACCAAACTGGAAAATGCACTTACAAATATCTCAGAGCTCGTCAAGTTGGTTATATTATTAAAACATACAACATATAAATTATATGCCCTAACTTCAGGGAAAATCTTGGTATATTAGCTTAGATGTTATTAGTCTGTACACGTGTTTGGACCTACAGAATTACATGTAATCCAAAAAGAATATAAACAAAGCAGTGCCCTATTAAATGAATGTGTAATCTAATGAAAATATATAACACTGCAAAAGTGAGGATGAGGACACAAAGTTGATTTAGATTTTTTTTTTCTTCACATAGAAGCATAGCATAAGACAACAGCTAAAATCAAAGGGGAGGCAACTAGTGGCAGTTAAAATGCCATATATAAGAAAAACATACATCTGTTTTCTCGTTCAAAAAACAATATCCATTTGCAGTGGGGAAATGTGACAGAACCCAAGCGCTGTCATTTGCAATAACTTAACTAACAAAGCAAGAACAGAAAGTACAAGAATGTAAGTACATGAAAATTCCTATAAAATGTACCTTTATCTCCACGGGAACCGAAGTTTAAACAACCGGATTCAATATGTCCAGCCCCACTAGATCCTACTCCTGCATTTAATGTAGAAAGCAGAGTTCACCTTTCAGTAAAGGAATTATATTGATGCCGAAGTATGATATAACCTACACATTGACATCCTTGAAGTCCTGGTTAATAGAGGATATCTAACCTGAAGCTGACAAATATACAAGGAGAATACCATCCGATGGAAGCTCCTCACAAATTGTGGCAAGAACCTAGCCATTAAAATGAAAAACGATATTATATACTCAAATAACTTGCGATCTAGAGAAAAAAGAATGGAAGAAATAGCACACTGATATCATGAACCCTTTTCTTCTAGTTGCAAAAAAGCAGGGAGGGACAATATTACTACATTTTAAAAAGAATAAATGGCTTGATCCAAATCTTCTTAACACATTCATCCCTCATATGAGATTTTAGGAAGGGTGCGAAGGGAATAGAATGTGATCCCCATGTTTAAAACAAGAAAGCATGCTTTTGAATTCACATGAATGTTCAGGAAGTACAAAAAAGTAATCAAGGCTACACAAGTCCTTACATTACATGTTAGAGGTGGCCAACTTCTTTCTACATTTATTGTTTAAAAAATTAAATAGCTTCAACTTCAAGCCATTGCTCATTTCTTTCAAGACATAAAGAAAAATATTAGTTTACAACTAGAATCTCAGGCTAAAACCCTGGTTCTAAGTAACAGCCTCATGAGGAGGGGATCATTGTTCAAACTCCATACTCTTGCCTGGAAGTCGATATATGGCATTGTGAGACACTTCACTGGTCTGAAAAACTAAGAAAATGCCACGGAAGACCAATTTGACCATGTTAAGCATTAAGGTTACTAACATCATTAGGATTGTTATTATCAGTGTCAGTGAGTTATGTTTGAACTATTTGTACTTGACCTAGATTACAAGTATAATAACCTATAAACTCAATGTTGTGCATTTGAGGACATATCACAATTATTTAGACATCAATGAAAATTTCTCTCTTTTTTATACATCAAATAGCTGAACCTTAATTACCAAATGGAATCAGAAGCCTGATTTGATCCAAGAACTACATGGTTATAGGTCCATGGAAAAGCAAATAAAGAATAACATAAATCTTTTCAAACTTACAGCTATGAAATGTGTCAGTGAAGGACGGTATAATATAGCTTTCCGCGGGTTTGCCGGTAAAGTAGGATCAGCAATATCTTGTAAGTAACTGATACGACCAGTCCCAGATGCCCCATTCTGACTAAGTTTTGAGCCACTAGATTGGTAAAATGAGCCACTAGGTTCCCATTCCAAACATTGAAGCATCCTAAAAGTGTCAATAGTGAGCTCCGAAAACTTAACCTGTTCAGAAATCATCACATTCACATTTAAAACCAATAGTAATGAAAGTCCATAACATTTTACCAGCAGTAAGAAACCTACCTTATTGATTTTGGGATATGGTGGTATAAGTGCTTATGTATAATCTACTTCTACAATCAAAGAGAAAATCATGCATAATCTCCGTATAAGATACTTCCACAATCAAAGAGAAAATCATGCATAATCTCCGTATAAGATATTTCTACAATCAAAGAGAAAATCATGCCTAATCTCCGTATAAGCTATTTCAACAAGCTAATTAGGGGAGCCTAAAAACAACTTATAAACATGTCATAAGATTTTTCCATAAGACAACTCATTTATCATTTTCAAACAAAACTTATGTTGTAATGTATCAGTTTTTACCTCGTTATGATGAAAGCTACTCAACACAGCATCTCGCAATTTCAAATTTCGCTTCGCAATAGCGACAGGAACATGTGGCAAATTATCAGGATGAGAATCCAAAACCAAACTATATCTCAACGGTCTGACATTCATAAAAGCAGTATCCGCTTTCAAAAACCTCCCAATTTCCAAAACAACAACTTTCCATTCCTTAAAATCACTATCCTGAAACACCCTCTTACACTCATCAACCAACACTTTAAGCTGATTAACCAACTGTTGCAACATTTCCCTCCGATTTAAAAGCAAACAAACAGTCAAAAACCTGGCTAAGAATCTCAATTGCTTATTCGCAATATTAACATCCTGAAACAAACCGTCTTTGAAATAATCACGAGTAAAAATAGCTTCATAGAAAATATAAGATTCTGATAAGTAATTAAAATCAGAAGTCCTCATGTACTGTCCGAAATACAGTTGGCCGATTCGAGACGCGATCTCGCCGATTTCCCATCGCTTTAACCCGGCTTCAATTAGCTTCTGACGATTCTCTTGTTGAAATTTCCATAACTGTGTGTAGACTTTGAAGACCTTAGAGAAATATGTATCATGCCTGTAAATAAAAAACAGAATGCAATTGTTGTGAATTGAATTAGGAATGAATGAATGAGGAATTAGGGTTTAGTTTGAATTGTACCTGCTGCGTTGGTAGTAAGGTAAGTCTCTGATTTTGGAGAATTTTTTGTCGGCTTTGTCGACGAGAGTCCAGAAAATTTCGCTTACGGGGATGTTGCTGTTGAGATGTTGTTGTGGTTGCGACATTTTCTTCTTCTTCTTCCTTCTGAGCTCTGACACTATGGTTTTCTACTGTCCGATCTGAGTCATGGTTCTCTTTTTTCTGGGTTTGGATGAACAACGCGTTGCTTCCAAAGTAAAGCCCCTCCACTTACTTCTACTCTTTTCTTTTCTTTCTTTTTTTTTTAAATATAAATTCTTATTAGAATGAATATCCAATTCTAATGTCTAAACTATTTAATCTTTTAGAAAAGAAATTAATTTTATTTTAACAAATCAACACGTTACGACTTTTTTTAAACAATATCAATAGATTAGAAATAAAGAAAATAAAAAAGAAGGAGACTCAAGGTAAAACTCTTCAAGATAGGGTGGCAGATTCCCTCTCGCGTGTTCATTGCCTAGCACATAGGATTCATTGACAAACTCAAAGGAGAACTTGCAAAGGATGATACATTCCAATAGTTTTTACAGGAAGTCCGATACAAACCTTCAAAGCACAAGGATTTACAAATCTCGAGCGGGTTGGTGTTCTTCAAAGGCAAGCTTTTTCTTCCGAACTACTCTCCCCTTAAATAAAACTTACTAGAAGAGTTTCATGCCTCATTGATTGGAGGGCATATTGGGATACATAGAATATTTGGTCATTTGCAATAGAATGTCTTTTGGGTTGGTATGCGTAAGGATGTGGCTGAATTCGTTAGGAATTGTGTTGTATGTCAGCAAACAAAACCAACCAACCATGTCTCTTATGGCTTGCTCCAACCTTTACCTATCTCCACTAAAGTATGGGAAGACATTTCACTGGACTTTATTGTAGGTCTCCCTTCATTTCAAACTAACACGTGTGGTGGATAGACTATCCAAGGCAGCTTATTTTTGCATGCTCCGTACACATTTCATAGCAATAATGGTAGTTGAAATGGCTAACTCCTAGACCAAGAGCTAAGAGAAATGCCAACAAACCCAAATACCTTGAAGATTATGTGATGCCAAAATGGAAGAAAGAGAATAAGACTAGTGATTGCTCTTAAATTCTAATTAAAATTGTTCTATTTATCGTATTTTTGAACATAAATAAAAGCAGTAAAATTGAATGATAATAGTTGTTAGTTGTTAGCTATTAAAATCTAGCTAGTAGCTAGTATTACACATCCTGTTACCCCATTCATAACATAGATATAGAGACATGAATTAAATTCTTTCAGTTTATTTTGTCAATATCTAAAATTGATTTTGTTGTTTCCATAAACTAAATTGGATCTCACAATTTTTCTGAATTTAAAATGAATTTTCATTCAAACTTTTTTTTTAAATTTAAGATGAAAACAAACAAATAAAAATGAAAAATGAAAATAATAATAATTATACCATTCAATAATATTTAATTAATTATATATTATATAATTGATATTTCTTTATCGTATTTTCATGAATAACATTTCTATGATTGTTTTTAATTAATTTAATAATCAAGTTTTTTAGGGTTGATTATAAAATGGTGCCAATATTTGAATTTAATTGGGTTTGATTACTTAATTTTTAAAAATGTGCTACTATCACAAGAATTAGATTAGTAGGTTAAGATGTTCCATGCAATCTTGGTATGTGTCCTTTAGGAACATGTAATAGTTTAAGTTTAAGAGTCTCATAAATTTATTTGTGTGAGTCATATACGTCTCAAATATTTGTATTATGGCACACAAACCAAGTGTTTAATATTAGTTTAATTAGATATAAATAGAATTATTGATTAAGATACTCAAACAATTCAAGTGACGTGTTTTATAGATTTCATTTATGTTTTATATTGTAGAATTAATTTTAGTGATACTCGGTGTTATGATACACAAAGATTGTGATATTATAGTAGATTTGAAAATTATTGGTGACGAGTGTTGTGACATTCGTGCACATAATGATACAAGAATTTCTAAAGAGTGTTATATATTAGTGAGTTAGAAATTTAAGATAAGAATAAATTGTAGGTTGTTACACGTGTCGTCTATATAAAAAAGAATATGACTTTTTTTGTCATTGTCACATTATTAACAAACACATCTATTATAATATATAAATATGATGAGCGAGCCATTTTTTCGACAAGAGGATAAGAAAATCACTACATATACTAAGATATACTAAATATTTCATAACTATTTTGGAAAAGATTATGCAACTTTAAATCTCGAAGAGGATAAGAGAGTCACTAGATTTAACAAGCAATCCATGTCATACTTTTGTATTTGGCCTCATAATAACTTTTATATATAGTAGCTTGCTTCTTGAATTTCTAAAAAATGAAGGAGTTGTGAGACATATTTTCTACTGTCAAAGCAGCTAGCCTAATCGGAATCACAAAAGACTTTGACTTGAACAGATGAAATAGAGGTAAGAAAGATGCTAGAACCAGTTTTGAGATAATTGAGTACATGAATGGAAACTCATGGTGCGTGGTGGTTGGAGCACTCATGTAATCTTTTTGGATACATGATCTAGATTATATTCATTAGTGTGTGAACCCCAGAGAATAAATGTGGAACTCATCCATACCATGCACTCTCGTTGATATGGTCTCCTGGTATCGATTTACTACTATGCATTAGTGGTTATGAACTCCCCTCCCTCAATGAATGAACATGGAACCCATTTCTATACACTGCATTCTACATGACATGACCCAAATTATATGTATTAGTGTAAATTATACGAGTTAAGATTAAAGTGACAACAAGACTATTGGAATAACACTAAGTAAAACAAAATATAGTAGAAAATGATTTCGTGACTTGATCCTTTATTCGTGCAGTTATCTCTATCATGAACTTTCATGTGCCTTTTGTTAACCTTATTATGCGGTGTGTCACGTCTGTTTCCTACAGGATAATGGTGAATGGCCAGTCTAGCTCTTCGTTTCAACCTGAGAGGGGAATCCGTCAAGGAGACACTCTCTCTGCGTATCTGTTTATTTTGTGTGCAAATGGTTTGTTTGGTTTCTTGAATAGAAGTTTCCAAAACAAAGAGATCCATGGTGTTCAGGTTGCTAGAAAGACATTGGTTATTACACATTTGTTTGTTGTAGATGATTGCTTATTCTTTGCAAGAGCAAATTCTAATGAAGTTGAATGCTTGCTGGGAATTTTAAAGAAGTGTCACGAAACTTCTGGGCAAATGGTGAATTTTGTGAAATCTGAGGTGTCTTTTAGCCGTAATGTTGATGCAGATGATTCTGATTCGATACGTAATAAGCTGGGAGTCAAGTTTGTTGCTTCTCACTCTAAGTACCTTGGACTGCCAGTGGTGTTTGGGAGATCTAAAAAAGAAATTTTTGACTTAGTGGTGGATAGGGTTTGGAAGAAACTCAAAGGTTGGAAAGAGCAGTTCTTGTCTAATGCAGGAAAGGAAGTTCTTATTAAATCAGTATCGCAAGCTATCCCGTCCTACACTATGAGCTGCTACAATCTACTGGAATCTGTCTGTCATGATATTGAAGCGATGCTGGTTAGGTTTTGGTGGGGAGCCAAGAATGGTGAAAAGAAAATCCATTGGTTGAGCTGGGACAAATTGGTCAAAAGCAAAAGGGAATGAGGGCTTTGGTTTTAGAGGCATTAGTGACTTCAATACCTGCCTCCTTGGGAAGCATTATTGGAGATTATCTACGGAGGACAATTCCCTCATGGCTAAGGTGTTTAAGGGCAGATACTATTCGTGAACCTCAATCTCAGACAGTACCCTAGGCTTTGCTCCAAGCCATGCTTGGAGGAGTATCCTTAGTGCCAGGAATGTTGTTCAATGCGGGGCTAGGTGGAGGATCGGAAATAGCGAGAAGGTGGCCATTTGTCAGGATAATTGGCTTCCCGGTAAAGCAGGTTTCAAGGTTCGTTCGCCTACTGTCGACATTGATAGGGATGTTAAGGTTGCGGAACTTATTGACAAGGATCTTGGATGTTGGAAGGCTGATGTTATTTTCAGATGTTTTGACCAAGAGGATGCCAAGCAAATCGTGAGCATCCCCCTGTCTGCCGGGAATTTGGAGGATCGTTGCATTGGAACCCTGAAAAAGATGGTGTTTACTCTGTTCGCACGACATACCATTCTTGTGTCTTGGCACATGTGACTATGAATCCTGGCCCATCTGTGCCCTCTTTTAGACAGCTTTGAAAGGAAATCTGAAAGGCAAAAATTCACCCCAGGAGAAGAAACTTTATTTGGAGGCTCGCGAAAGATACCCTTCCCCTTAATAGCAATCTTGTCAAGAAAGGGGTGAAGATTGATAATTGTTGCTCTCTTTATGGTTCAGCTACTGAAAACTGCCCAACATTTGTTCATGTCCTGCCATTTTGAAAATAGGTTTTCTTTTCCTCTATTCTGACCTATAGGATCCCTAATGAAACTCACATCCTTGATTGGCTGATTAGTATCCTTAAGATTGGAAACATGTTGAGGTCTCAGCTTCTTTGTGTCATGTTGTATATGGTCTGGAAGTCTAGGAATTTATTGGTTTTTCAAAAAAAAATGATTGATCCTGCCAAAGTGGCCTTAGATGCCCTTGATTTTGTCTTGGAATTTAATCGTGACAATCCTGAGCTCAAGGACAAGAAGGCGAATGCTGATAGTTCTGGGGATATTGTTGTTACGGGTGATGTGCATCTGATTCAGATTGATGTAGGTATTCAAGCTAGGGAATTTGTCACTTTCGGTTGTGTTATCAAAAACAAAGATTCTGTAATTGTTTTGGCTGCTAGCCATAGGGAGTCTATTTCTGTTATGCCGGAGACTGCGAAATTGCTTGCCATCAGGTGGGGACTTTCCTTAGCCAAGAGCCTGAAGCTTGACAGTGTCTTCATTCAGTTTGATTCGAGTTTGACAGTTAATAGTGTCAAAAATCGATTGCGGTGGATTGTCGTATTTTTATTAGTAGTTTTCAATTTAGTTTTATTAAGTTTATTAGTGGTTTATAACAAGGATGCCCATGATGTGGCTTGTCTGGGATGGGTCCCGAGTCTTGTATCTGTTTCTGGTTTCGTTTTAATGAATTGAGTTTCCAATAAAAAAATAAGTAAAACAAAAAATAGTAGAAAAATGATTCTATGATTTGGACATGTGGGGAAAGAAATCGTGTAGATTAGTACTTAGAAGAGCAGATCAAATAGAGGGTATTTAATTCGCGGTAGGTAGAAGAAAATTTTAAAAAATGAAAAGATAAACTAGTCAGAAAAACCTCCGCACTAATGAATTAATAGATATATAATTTATGATACAACATTACTGCATAGCTTAATGAATGTACGGATATTACATAAATATGGAAAGAAAATGTTTTATCATATGAATATCATATAAACTTTATAAAGTGAGAGCTTTATGACTATAATTTTTCAAATAAGGTTTGAGGTGGGAAACTTATTATTACTAAACCATACATCTGAGTCAAAAAATAAACCATAAGTCTTCATTAACAAACCAACAAATCAGCAATTAAAGAAAATGCTCCAACAAATTATAGATAATAAAGCAAAAGATTCCTTTAAACATATCACAGAACATACATCCTGATTGGTAACAGTACATAGAAATGTTTAAATTTCCCAGTGAATTTGTCTGCTATTGCAGCTAAAAATCGTTTATTGTTAAAAAAGCAAAAACTGCTCTCCACTTCATGGAATGAATTCAAACGATTTGTCAGGAGGAAAGAAAAACAAACATCCAACCCAATATATCTGCAACTCAAAGCTGAACCATATTCATGGTTTGGTTGTGGATTCCCATGGTTGGTACCTGGTCCAGTTTCTCTGTCCTGGATTGAGAGCATGTCCCTTGGAATGATAGATAAACTCCTCACCTTCTCCAGACAAATTTTCTTTATGGTCAAGACCATACCTTTTTGGTCTCAGTAAAAGAAGCTGCAACAAATTCATTGCAAATATTATGTATTTTCTTAGCATGTGATACTATCAAGGTAACAAATAGGAAATAAACAAATTTACCTCATCACCGGTGTGATCAGTTATGAAGTGGAGCCAGCCATGCCATTCAGCAGGAACCTGAGAAGCGTTATATCTAGTCTTCTCTGCATATTCAACCCACCTGTGCCTTCCTGTCAAATTATAACAATGATGTGTCATGCGTTATTACATCTTATTGTTCCAATCTCCAAATAATGTCGACCTAAGTTTGAGTCTTGACAATATATCATAGAATATGGAAGATTTGACTGCTATAAAGTGAATCACACTACAAACGGAAAAGTAAAGTGTTATAGCCATTGATTGAAAAAACAACAGGGCACGCACAACCTCCTCTAGAAAATGCACAAAAAAGTTCTATGATCTTGTTTTTGTTTGACATATATTTGTAGAAGAGACCTTTGTTGCCTCCTGTTAAGAAATGTGGTTGTGCCTAACTCAACCCTACAAAACCGACTTGCAGGGTGAGGATTGCCCCCACTTATAAGCACACGGTCAGTCCATATATCATCTGATGTGAGACTCTTAACACACTCGCTCATGTCCAGAACTGAACATCTGGAATGTGGAAATAAATGGTGGGTGGCCCGATAGCGGAAACCGCATTGTAGGTGGCCCACTGGATCATTTTTAGTGTCATCGACATGGAGGCGATGAGGTTTGGTAATTTACTCTCCCTCTACTGTAGAGTTTTTTTTATGTTACTTTGGATGATATTCAGTTGTTTAGGCTCTGACATGAAGCTTGGGTTGAAACTCAAATTCTTCCTTTCTGTCTATAACTTATTCTTAGCTGGGTTTAAAAAAAAATTTAGGCTTGAGGTGCTTGCACCACTCATCAGATCCCACAAGCAACCTTGAGTAAAAAGGTTCAGTAGCTAGCTTCCTCTGTTTTCAAAATGTGCCCCATAACCTCGTCGTATGCTACATACACACAATTTTCTCAAATGGATTGCAATATTTTAGACATGTTTTGGCTATATGCGATAACTAATTGCATAAATAGATAAATATGGAGAGATCGTTTACATCTTAATCTTTCTTGACCAGATAGTAATTAATCTGTTTTGATACTGTTTGCTTACTTGTCAGATGATAGTGTAAAACTTGGGAGAAAAGAATAACAAAAATTCTAACTGTTTTCTGTGTTGTATATTTTGATTTTTAACTCTGTTACAAGATTTTTATCAACCTTATATATAGCAGTTCTTGTCCTGCACTAGTCTGAGACTACCCCACACAAATGTGTTGGATACATTTGTTACTAACAATGACAGTCGGTACAAACAACTAACTAATACAACCAGTTTAATTAAATATTACATATATTCTCATACATAGTAGTAACTCCAATAATTGCATTAGAAATGTTTTCCCTTAGTAGTAGTATATTCCATACAGAAACTGTTGCGAGGTAGTAAATAGAAAACAGGGATAATTCCCTCGATTACAGAACTAGAACACTAGAACTTTGAGGGTCTGCAAACCCTCCAATCACCTAAATTCATTAATTCTCTCAAATGACTGGTGGATTCACTCTATTCCCTCTTACTATTATTTATAACATCAGAGTCTGACCTAACTAACTTAAGGGTTTACCTATCATTTTCATTATGTTATGATGAGATAGCAATGTGTAATAAGCAGAATTCTTGATGTTAACAGTTGCTAACAAAGTGAACTCGGCAGGTCTTTGGTTAAAGCAACTAGTTTTCATTGAATTTAGCCATATTTGTTTATCATACTAAAAGACACAAACATACACATAAAGACAGAGAGAGCAGGTTACTGACCATATTGTGTGTTTTCAGTTTTCTCATAATACTTGTTACCATATTTATCAACACCAACCAGCGTTGCCCCAATATTATGGATCTTGGTTTGCCTGCATAAATTCAAAAAGCAATTAGAGTGGAAGAGGAAAAATATGGTATCACAAGAGAATTCAAATCTCACAGTATAAAGCAAATAAACACAAGAGAATTCAAATCTCACAGTATAAAGCAAATAAACACAAGAGATTTCACTATCAAAAGCTGAGCCCTTCACTTCACCAACTTTACATAAACAATGTCTCTCTATTCAGCTGCTCATGGCAGCAGCAACAAGAAATCTAAATCTAATTGCGACCAACCACAAAATTTAACTCAACTCAAACTAAGGTAAGGTTTGATGAAGCTTTTCATGCAGAGATGAAAGAAGGATAACGTTTTCATTTAAAATGAACATTATCTAAATCCACATCTTATCCCAATCATTTTTCCGAATACTATCATCAAAATTCATATCTTATCCCAATCATTTTTCCGAATATTATCATCAAAATTCATATCTTATCCCAATCATTTTTCCGAATATTATCATCAAAATCCATATCTTATCCCAATCATAAGCATTTTTTCCGAATATTATCATCAAAATCCATAATTTATCCCAATCATTTTTTCGAATATTATCTTCTCCAATTGCGCGCAGAGGATATCATGTTCTTACCCAAAAAATAATGAAAATGTTACCCTCCCATTCATTTTCTCATCATTTTCCTACTTGAATGCACAGGAAAAAAAAAATTAAAAGGTAAAAACAAAAACAACAAAAATTGACTCACAATAGGTTTCCATCAGGAAGGCATCTCCTGAAAAATTCAAAGCGAAAACGAAAAACAATATTAGCAAATCGAATCAATGAACCCTAATAGCGTAATTGACACATTCTTGAGGTGAATAATTAATAATCCCTAAAACAAAAAGGTGCTACGATTTGTGAAATTGAATAATTAAAAAGAGAATTGAAAAAGGAAAAGGGAAAAACCGGTATCCTTCATCCTTGAGGTATCTGAAGAAGCCGCCGAGACCCTTCTCCCTCACCGTGCTTATGATGCTTTTCACCACCGACGCCATGATCTCACCACCACGTTCTCTTCGCTTGATGCCGTTTGTACGTAAGGCTGCGTTTGGTAATGTAATACCCAAAACAAGAGAAAAATAATCCCTCGCAATTTATTTTCTTACTCAAAATTTCTTTATTTTTTAATTAAAAAAATGTTGTTTTAAGGCAAATGAAAATAAAAAATTCACCTTTAAAAAATGTGGTAATTTAAACATATTCTTAGATGGATGGTTGTCCTAGAGATAGATTGTTTTTTATCTCCCAATAGATTGTTTTTAGTTTTTTATTATAGACTTGATATGTTTTATTTATATGTGTGATTTATATAAATTTTTGAATTTTTAATTGAGTTATGATATTAATGAATAATTATGTTTTAATTAACACATATTTCTTTTTTGAATCGTGTGTTACCATTAACACAATTTATTAGAAAACAACATAGTTTTATTGGTGTTATTGTTGTTATATTATAACAAATGGACAAATAGTGAAAAAAAAGACAAATTGACAATGGATTGTGAGAGGAGATAAAACTAAAAGAATCAGGAATTATCTCAAGTCACTTGTAGTAAAAGAGTTAAATGTCCATTTAAGTTGAAATTTGTTTCAAGCGGTAGTTGTTGAAATATATCGGTTAGATGTGGTATTAACAACCATGATCTAACTAAAGATTTAAAGGGTCATGACATATTAGATCGTCTAAAATCATATGAAAGACAGTTTGTGAATGACATGACAAAATATCACATGGCACTGAGGTTTGTATTACATTGAAAGATAAGGATGTTGATAATCTGACGACTACGACGCAAGTGCATAAGGCAAGATCGAAATATCAGTCTACTGTCATAGGTTCATTCACGGAAATGCAACATTTGTTAACCCTAATTCATGTTGAGAAAAATACATATGCATGACTAGACACATGGATGAATAATATGTTATTGTTAATATATTATGGACACATCCAGATTCTGTAAAGTCGTTGAACATGTTTTATTTGGTCTTGATCTTTAAATATACATATAAAACCAACAGTTGTCGGCTCCCACTACTTGAGATCGTTGGTGTTATGTCAACTAAATTTATTTTCTTGATTGAGTTTGCCTAATTGGAACATGAAAGAGAGGCAAACGTCACACGGGTACCGGGGAAGTTTAATGGATTGTTCACATCGGTGAAGTTGCTTCTCAAGGTCATTGTACTGGTAAAAAAGTACAAGGTGTGTGCTCTCCCTACAAGGGCAGTGAAACTCATAGGCCTTTGTAAGTATATAACATATTTGAGTTGTGAGGGCTTGCTCACTGCGGCGAAAAGTCTTGTGCGGTGGTTTTTGAGGTTGTTTAAGGGACTCGCCCATGTGAGGTGAGAGACCTTATTGGTGGACGGCGCTGCTAGAAAAAATTTGCAATCTTGAAAAAGATAACTCTGCCCTCAAAAGCAAGAGTAAAAAACTTGAAAAAGAGATTTTTTTTCATAAGCTCATATAGACTTTGAATCTGTTATTAAGAAATATGACATGTCTTTTAAAAAAATTCTTGCGTGAAACATAGACAGAAGCAAAATGGCTTATATGATCTATGGAGTAAGTAGAAATGTAAAAAGTTGTATTGGTTATGTGCCATCTAAAAATTATAGGGTCAAACCTAATTCAAAACAAAAGGCAATTAAACCAAAAGCTCTGTATTCTCATTTAACCTATAGGTGCACACATGATTCTCTTGCACAAAAACTCCGAGTTAAGAAAAACTCTAGGAGGACTAACAAAAAAGGATCCAAAAAGATAAGGTTACCTAAAGGAAAAATAGTCTATGTTTCATACATCCTTAGCAGCCAAGTTGAAACACCAATATTGGTACCTAGACTCTAGATATTCACATCACATAACGGGAATAAGGTATATGTTCCAAAGCCTATAACTTAAGCCTGGAGGCACCGTTAGTTTCAAAGGCAATCATAAGGGTAAGATTATTGGCTCTAGAACAATTGGTAGTGGTTTTCCCCTTCTATTAATAATATTTTGTTATTTAAAGGATTAATGCATAACTTTGTATCGATAAGTCGATTAATTGACAATGATAATGATATTATCTTTAATCAAAAGTCATGCAAAGCTATTAGTCAGAAGGATGAATTTGTACTCTTAAATGACAAGAGGAAACACAACATTTATAAAATTATACTTTTAGATTTAGAAAATCAAAATGTTGAATGCCTCATGTCTGTGAATGAAGATCAATGGACTTGACATAGACGGTTAAAAAATGTTAGCATGAGAAGAAATTCAAAACTAAACAAGCTAAACTTAGTCAGAGGCCTTCCAAATCTGAAGTTTGCTTCAGATGCTCTTTATGAGGCATGTCAAAAAGTCAAGTTTTCAAAAACCTTTTTCAGAGTTAAAAACGTTATTTCAACCTCTAATCCTTTGGAACTTTTACATATTGACTTATTTGGGTCAGTGAAAACAGCCTTTGTCCATGGTAAAAAATATGGATTAGTCATTTTTTATGACTATAATAGGTGTGTCTGGGTAATGTTTCTAAAACACAAGGATGAGTCACATTCTGTGTTTGCTGCCTTTTGCTCTCAAGTGCTAAATGAAAAAAACTTTAAGATTGTCAAATTCAGAAGTGATTATGGTGGAGAATTCGAAAACAAAAACTTTGAAAGTCATTTTGATAAAAATGGAATTTCCCATGATTTCTCTTGCCTTATAACTTCTCAACGTAATGGAGTTGTATAGAGGAAAAATTGCTCGTTACAAGAAATAACCAAAACCATAATCAATGAAACTAATATTGTAAAGCACTTATGGGTAGAAGTAGTAAACACAACGTGTTACATTCAGAACAGGATCAAAATAAGACCTACTATGGGTAAGAGTTCTTATGAATTATGGAAGAACAGAAAACTCAACATTTTATGTTTTCATCCTTTTGGCTGATCATATTTTATTTTAAATACTTAAGAAAACTCGAACAAGTTTGATTCAAAAGCATAGAAATGTATCATGTTAGGATACTCTAAACACTCAAAAGGCTATAGAGTGTATAACATTGAAACACGAATTGTTAAGGAATCAATGCATGTTAAGTTTGATGATAAGCTTGACCTTGAAAAGTCTAAACTAGTTGACAAGTTTGCATATTTGAAAATTATATGCTATACTTTAAAGGCAAGGATTCATAAGTGAAAGACTCTGAAAGCACTTAGCCCAAAATTGCTCAATCAGAATCATAAGTTGTTATCGCACCAACGCCTCTAAGGAAACACATGCACATATCTTCATATCCGGAAGAATTGATTTTGGGATATAAGATATAACTCATAAAAACCAGATCCTCATGTAAACCATCTAAATAAATGCTTATGGGTTTGGTGTCCTTTATAAACCTACTTCCATTTATGAAGCACTTATGGACATGGGTTGGATTCTGACAATGCAATAAGAATTAAATAAATTCTCTAAAAATGATGTATGGGATCTTGTGCCAATATCCAAAGGAACTCGTGTTATTGGAACTAAATGGATTTTCAGAAATCAGTTGAATGAGAAAGGATAAGTGGTAAGGAGCAAAGTCAGACTGGTTGCACAAGGCTATAGTCAACAAGTATGAGTTGACTGTACTGAAACCTTTGCATGAGTGGTCAGGTTAGAATCTATTCGTCTTCGAGTTTCTTTTGCAGTAAATCATAACATCTATTTATATCAAATGGATGTTAAAAGTGCATTTTTGAATGGTTAAATTACTAAAGAAGTTTATGTACATCAACCTCCTGGTTTTGGAAATCATAAAAACCTTGATTTTATTTACAAACTTAAAAAATATTTGTATGGTCTGAAACAAGCTCCTAGAGAATGATGTGAAAGACTAAGCAATTTTATTTTGAAACTTGATTTTATAAAAGGAAAAGTTGATACAACTTTGTTGTGTAAATCATTCAAAATGACATTTTCACTGTGCAAATTTAGTTAACGATATTATTTTTGGTTCTGCTAGTGTTACTCTTTGAAAGGAATTTTCTAAATCAATACAGGCAGAATTTGAGATGAGTCTGATAGGAGAATTAAATTTCTTTCTGGGGATTCAAATCAACCAAAGTTCAGAAGGAACATACATCCATCGTGCATTATGGAGAAAGACGAAAGAAATCAGGTATAATAAAAGGTATATAGAGGTATGATTGGTTTTCTCTTATACTTGGTCGCTTTTAGGCCTGATATATTATTTATTGATGCTTATGTGCTAGGTCCCAATCATATCCTAGAGAATATCACTTAACAGTTGTCAAGATGATTTTTAGATATCTGAAAGATACTACTAACATTTATTTGACTTATAGAAAATCCAAAGAGTAGTACAAGATAGAAGGTTATTATAATGCCGACTATGTTGGAGACATAGTAGAAAGAAAAAGCAGTGGTGGAAACTGTCAGTTTCTTGGTGATAATCTTATTTCATGGTCCAACAAGAGACAACCAATAATAACATCGTCAACTGTAGAAATTGAATATATTGTAGCATCTGAACGCAAAACTCAGATACTCTGGATGAAAATTCATCTAGAAGATTGTCAAATTTTATTTTATATGTTTCTTTTTCAATTTAAACCTACGATACACTCACTTCTCACACACAACACTACTAGTTTTCATCACCCATACTTAATTCTTTTCAAACCTAAGAGCCCTAAAAAATTTATTGTTGTTCAACAAAATCTGGCTAAAATGGTTGAAAACATCTTTATTAACATCAATAGCTCACTCATAATATGTTATTGGAAAGAAGCTTTAATCAAAAGCATTGAGGAAAGGATCAACTATTTTTACTCATAAAACATTACAAGATTCGAAATCATTTCAAAAGCACTGCAAAGATTACAACTCTCAGATTACGTCAGGATGAAAACCATCAATTCTAAGAAAGGTCTTCCAGTCTTCGTCAGTATTTGATCCAATATCTTCATCTGGCTTCTTCTTCTTTTTTAGATTCTTCATCTTTGTAAT